TGGAGAGATTAAATACATCTTCTGGGAGTGTTTTAAAGACATGATGTTAACTATCTTTTCACGAGACCGGATATCAATTCACCTATTAACGGGGCTGCGATTGCTAGCAGCGGAAGAAATCATCCACTCTGCGTACTGAGAAGTTTTCATTTTTTATTAACCCCAATTTTTTTATCAGCCAAAATACGAATGGTTTTTCTACGCTTCTTTAAGGTTTTAAACTGAGCAGGTGAGAGAGGAATATTGCCTTTCAGAACGTTCAGAGCTAGTTCACAAATTGAGTTTATCCTTCCTATGGTGTTAGGGTCCCTACGGACCCGTTTTGAGTTTTAGCATGCATAAAAGTACTTCATACATTTGTTTTTTGCGTTGAAACTTTTTGACTTTGTCAGGGATTTCCATTTAAACAAAATAAAATCAATTTTTGTTTTTTTACTAAATTATAAAGTGCTCTGGTGAAAAAAATGACTTTTGTGGTGTTCGGGTCATTTTTGACCCGGTTAAAATNAAAATTAAAATCTTTTTTTTGTTGAACATTTAAGAAATGTGTTTTAATATCTCTCAGTTACACTCAGGTAACAGAACAACTGATTATTTTGTTGCCTTCTTCTCTTAAGGTTCATTTGACCACTTTTTAGACATTGAAAACGAGGGGTATGCTGTTAAAACAAAGGCCCAGGGGGCCACAAAAAATATTAAAACCAATCTTTTCGTGGATAAGGGAGCCCAACCAGCTAAACAAGAGTTAAGAAAAACATTGGATGATAAAAGATTGTTTTTAGGATATTTTATGGCTGATTTAATACACGGGTCCAAAATGACCCGCTAACACCACAGATGGCAGCAGAAAGCTAACACCAGAGGAAGGTTATGAAACCTGTGAAGCTACGCAACAATATCTCTCTCCTCTTTTGAGGTGTTGAATTCATAAGCGCCCTGAGCAAATGTCCGTTTCTTTTTAATCGAGCAGACAAGCTGAATAAAAAAAACTTTAGTTTAATTTTTTAATTTTTTTAAGCCTTCCTGGGAATATAAACCACAGTATTTTTATCGCGTGGAAATATCCCCGTACGAAGCCGCAGCTCATCTGGACAAGCCGATGTTAAATCTATCAAAAAATACCCATAAGTGGTGGAGGCCGTGGCCTTCTGAAGGCATTCCAGAAAAAACATTTGTTGCTTTGGAAACATCTGTCGGGCTAAGACCGCGGCCTGCAGCTTGTCTCGCGGGTTTTTAAATAACACGATATAATTTGAATTCAAACTGATTGTTCTGCTGTGTTTACCCTGCTGGAAAATATTCTGCGAAAGAAAAAATATGCTCATATTTCGGTGATGGCGATACTGTGTAAATATTTTAACAACATCCAAATTCTCTGAAGCCTGGAATATAACATCGTCTAAAAACACTAAATATGATTTATTAAAAGGAAATAATACAGGATCTTCAAAAGAATGAAGCAAATCTTTGATAAATTTAATGTTTTTATTCATTTTCTGCAGATCATCAAAACTTGACTGGTACTTGTTGTACACCTATACAATATTTTCAGGCACATTATTTAAAATACTCTGACAATTTTCTAAAACATTTTTTACAAAATAAGATTTTCCACACCCACTGGGTCCAGCGAGGATGCAACTGAATGGGGTCTTGAGTCTRGGGTCAAATTCCACCTGCTCCAGATGGATGAGTGACATTTTTAATTTAATTTAATTTTATTTTTTATTTTATGTTATTTTACATCAATAACAAAAAGGCAAGGTTGTTCCGTTACTAAATAATCTATGTTTATCGTAAACTACTTTGAATGTCTTTTTAAAGTTTGAAGTTCTGAGCAGAAAACTTCTCTTGTCACGTGTTATGTTCTGTTGCGGGATTGCAATATGACAGCTTTCATCCCCAGCCAGGCACCCTTCCACCCGTTGACTGATTCCGTGAAAACTGACTTTTGTGCAGGATTCGCGAGTCTGTGTGATCCTCTTTACGCGCAATAGGACTTTCCCCTGTCTCATTTTTTACGCGTACGATTTTGGACCTGCAGACACAAATTCCTGGATTGAATCTCCAGGAGAAAGTTCACTTGTAAGATCACCTAAATAATTTCCCACCGGTAGCGTTTCTTCACCCGGTTTTACGGTGTAAATCAGCGAGTCTGTGTCCATATACAACACTCGTGGTCCTAATTTCTGGAGAGAACTCAACAGTTTCAAGCGCGCAAGCGCAGTGGTGAATGCAGCAATGAAAATGTTGTCTGTCCTGTTCGGAGGAGAAATGCAGCGTTTATTAAAACTCCACTGGATCAGGACCGCCTCGGTGTTCAGGAAGTGAAAATAGGAGACTTTATATTTTCCTGAAAACAGAAAGTCAAACAGCTGATTGGGTTCTTTGACAATGGTGGTCTGTGTTTGATTGCTCCTCTACACAAACTTTCCCCAGAAGCTATTCAGACATAATTTCGCAACCTGCCTTCTCGCGGGGTTCTGCTGAATTTGTTCACGGTTCAACTGGATCCCTTGATGTGTGAAATAATCACGAATGTATTTCTGTTTGCCCTCCTCATCCGTCACTTCCGTGGGGAATCCGCTGCTTTCTTGTTTGTTTTTAAGAAACCGATTAATGTAATCAATTAAGAGTTTGTCACTCCTCTGCTTAAAATGCCAGACCTGTGTAATCTTTAGCACTCTATAGCCTGCGGTCAGGGAGGCATTAAACTCCACAGTAGTCCAGACACCTGTGAGCGCTCTCTGCTGCTGGCTGTGAAAACAGGATGTGTGCTGATCGTTTGTTTCCGCGCAAGTTCTACAGAGAGTGAACACCAACTTGCCGCGCGATGTCTTATAAGGCAGGACCAGAAATAACAATTTTCTCGGTGGCTCTACCATAGCCCTGATAAAACCGAAATAGTTTTTAGGTTCATCAAAATCTCTGTAGATTAATTTAGGGTGTCCTAACGGATAAACACCCTCAGCGTTCATGCTGGGGTATTGAGAACAGAAGTCAACGTATTCCACTGTCTCATCAGGCTGCGCGCTGAAATGCAGCCTTACCGCGCAGGTCTGCCCGCCATATAAAGCCTCGCGAGGGTGTAACGGTTCGGGTGCATCGTAATTCTGCAGGAACTGACCGAGTGCAGGGTCTGATTTTTTCATATTTTCCCACTCGTGTTCCCAGATTACTTCTACTTTTAATTTGTGATCATTTTTCAAAGCGCACAGTTTCTCATTCGTGGCTTCGTAGATCCTTTCGAACGGAACGTGTCTTAACGGACACTCGGACTGAGGCGTAAAACATTTTGGACATCCGTGAAAAAAACACCCCAGGAATTCAAAGGCCGTGTGCACCCCTCCCACCTGTGCAAAACCGTCCACAAAGTACTTTCCCACTTTTTTCTCTCCCGCGTTAAGCGCGTGATCAATATGTATTTTTCTGCTGTACGCTATCCACTCCAGGCATTGAATGGAAACGTTTGAAAACATTTTATGATGCGTATAGTCCATGGGGCTAGGAACGGCCAGCGTGTAAGGCTTAAGAAAGTTGCTCTGATAGACTCTGATGCACACGGACGCTATTGTTATTTGCTTTTCAAAATGGAATGTTTTCTGACTGGCTTCACTGTACCACGCATTGAACTTTTCACCTCCAGAGGGGGCATTTCATCCACATCGAAATAAGACGCGGCCGGAAACGCTCCTATGAAATTTAAATGTTCCAGAGAGGAGAATTTGTGCAGAAAATAGCCTTTTGAGCAGTCGGAGAAACACAACGCTTGTGGAAACGCGCTCAGCCTCATTATCAGAAAACATAAGCTGTCCTGGAATCTCAGATTGTAATCAGGGTCAGTGAAACACAGAACCTTCGATCCTTGCATAATGATGCTCGGTGAAATACCGAGCTCTGTCATGCAGCTGAGAATTGTAGCGAATTACTCTATGAAACTTAGGACCAGCCTAATCTTCACAAAGGTAATCCCTCAAGACCTTGCAAAATGAAA